AAAAGTGCATCTGCGAATTGGACGATTTATATATCAGGCTATTGTATCTCACTTGATTCTATAATTAATATAGTTTTCTTTTTGTTACAGGTGATCATCGTTGGATATATCATCAAACCTTTCTACTTTTCTTCTATTTGAACACCTTTAAATGTTATTTTCAAAATATATGTATAAATGCATTTCTGAAGGCACACGCACCAAAGATTTTCAATTTATTTGATAGTAAAATATTGTATTAATGAACGTATCTTTTTCAGGTTTAAAATTTTAATAAATTTACGTTTTTTTTTTTGTTTAATTTTTCTATTAATATTTGTAACAGGTATAAAAGGTAATTACATATACTTTTTATTTTATTTCGTTTGTTTCCACGATACGAGAATAACTTTAGGGTATTAGAAATTAAATTACTTGGAAAAAATTATGAGCAAATGCAAAATCCTATGAACTTAATAGGCAAATAGGTGAAAATATTTGTGTATTTACCCTTAAGGCACTTTCCACTTCTGCAAATGTTCCAATATCCTCAACGTTAGGAAAGGCAACCATTTCTGCAGGGAAAAATTGCTGTAACATTTAAAAAAACAATAATATTCAATTAATTCATATTTTATCACGTTAAATATACATGGAAAATTAAAAATAAACAAACATAAATATATCAATCTTTAATTTGTTCGTTCATTCGTTCGTTGCTTCGTAAATCATTTTCTTAAGACGATTATCTTTTTTTTTTTTCTTTTTTTTTTCTCTTCTTCTCTTACATTTTCGATGTTCCACCTTCTAGTAGTAGAGTATACCTTTTACTTACAGACCCAAGACTCGATCGCGTGCGAACCTTTTCGAAAAGTTCAGGCTTAAAGTCTAGAAGCCGATAACATCGAGAAACACGAAAGTTATCGTCGAAGCTAAGAAACTTTTCGCGAGAAACGCGATAAGACTCAACAATCCGAAAAGTTTTTCCACAAAAAAAAAAAAGAGGAACTGATATAAACCCAAGCGATCTCGTGTTCTCGATAATTATCGAATTTTCTTTTCGAGCTTAGACCTTCTAATTACTATCACGTTAAATATTTGTCTTCTTACCTTTCATTTCTATTCATATTAATTAATAATAACACTTAAACACCGTGTATCACGTGTTTTAATTAAATTCTTTTTCATAAATTTAAAATCTACATCTTTTTGTTTATACTTTTTTTTTTTTATAAACTTCTTCGTACAAATAATCAAGAATTTGTTGTATTATTTTATTGATTAAACATTATAACAAAAATTATTTAGATGCACTTCAACAAATGATTAATCGATAAGTGAATTAACTTTGAACATTAATTTGAACATCGAAAATGTACGTAAGTAGAGAGTGGTCCCTTTTTAAATTTAATAAACGTAGTATAAAGTAATATGTAAAAAAGAAGAAGAAAAAAAGAAAAAGGAAACTACTACCCTTAAAAGTTATTGTTCAACGTTAGTTCGTAGTGAATCGAAAAAAATCGTAGGAATTGGTATTCGCTCGATGAAATTTTATTCGTGAGAAAAGGATGAAATTAAAATCGACGAAATTAAACGTAGAGAGGCAAGCATAGAGTTTTCCGATTGAGAGAAGTGAAATAAAACCGAGTAAATCGAAGTAAAGAGGGGTCTGAGAGGGGGGAGGGGTGGGAGGATTAAAAGGGTGAGAAAAGGGAATGAATGAAAGGGGTGGTGAGAGTTTAAGTGATGGGTCGTAGAATTCAGTAGCAAGAACGTAACTTCGAATTGTAAGTAGATGTAAAAACAAAAGTATAAAAAAGGGTTTTAAACTATCAAGGGGGGGGGTTAGTGAATCAAAAAGAAGGGCTGAAGGGGTAGAGAATTTAATTCTAATTCGAAATATTGAATATTATTCGAATTTCATATTTGATTGTGGACTTTAAAAAAATGTGATAAACTTAGACAATTAATGGAAAATTATTTGTAATAAATCTCACATATGGTTTTTGTTTATAACACGTGCAACACTATTACAATTTTTAATTTATCAAATATTTGAGATTTTTAATTTGTTTAATTGAGATATAAGATGATCGTTTAAAAATTCGATTGATATTCAATATTTGATGATGATAAATGAATTATCAAGAATATTTCAAATTAGATTGTTAATAATTATCTTAATCTATAAATGATAAAGAGGTAGAGAAAATGTGAATGTAAGAAAGAAAGAGAGAGAGAGGGAGTGTTAGGGAGAAAAGTGGGGACTTAGAGGAGGGAAGGAAAAGAGAATGGTGGGAGTTCTTTCAAGCGGAAAGTCCAATCAATACTAATTACGAATTACGCTAATTAAGTCGTTATATGGTATTTCCTTTAATTAGATACTAATTTGCTTGCAAAACCGTTCGTTCGAAGAATCAGCGAAAGAGTCTCGAAGGAGACTCACTTATCGAAGTTTCCGGACTCTCGTTTCGCTTTAATTGGCGTCTCACGACTGGAAAACGGTCAAAATAGCGATAAAGTTTTGTGCCATTCTCCTCACTTGAACCCACCTCCCCCTCACCTCACCTTTCGCTTAACAGTTTACTTCCAATTCGTTCTTACTGTCTTGAAACTTGTTTCGACGTTATATCTAACGCTTAATTACTAGCTTTCAAGTATTTTCAAAGTTATCCGTAAATGAATGAACGAACGAACGAACGAACGAACGATGTCTTTTTACAAATTTATTTGCATAATTATATTACAAAATAAAACCCGGCAGATTTAAGTAGCAACTCGAACGGCGCTGATACGGCGCCCGGTGATTGATTTCAAGTCTTTTGTTACTCTTATCTAATATTAACAAAAAAAAAATTGTGCAATTCCTTTTGACAAAAATGTGAATTAATTGTTCACGTGTTGTTCATTGATACGAAATGAATAATTATTATTTAGTAAAATAAAACGTAACAATTAAATGTCCTTACAATGGTGGTAATTATGGATATTATGATGTGTCATTATTTACGATACAATGATAACAATAATATAATCTACGATTCTATTATGCACCGATAATAATCGTGTTAAATGACAATTAAGTATTGTCATCATTTGCTACGTGAATTGCATTTAAAACGAGATAGTTATGCGTGTATTGCACAGAATCCCTTCGTTCGTTGAATCACAAAGGACGTATATTTAATCAATAATAGTTTTCATTTAATTTATTTCATTCGAATAATCATCATCATCATCATCATCATCATTATCATTATCACGTAGATAATGTGCGAGATAATGTTATACGTCAGAATTATGAGAATTTATATGAATGAAATATATTATTAAATAATAAATTATCATAAGAAAATAATAGTCTACTTTATCTTGAAAATAATACACAGGTAAAATAGTTAAGTGTACCTTTACTATTAGAAAATATAGCAGGAATCTGTTTTACCATGAACAAAATTATTTTATCATCTGATTCATGAATCTTATCTCGATAAAGTAGAGAGCTATTTTACCCTTTTGTGATACATGAATTTACCTTCAGAAATGTTGGTAAAACAGAACACTGCAATATAGTTCTTTTTTAGTTTATCATCTGGTGATATAAATTCTCTATAAATATTTGTTGATTATTCGAATAATTATTAAATATTAATAAATAAAATAAATTAATCTAACCTTTGGTTTAATGAAGAACTCGTATTTAAGAAAGTCCTGACGGAAGTAAAATTTTCTTTCGTGATGTGGTGCAAACGTTTCCATTTCTCTATGTACAGCCAATATGTCCTCGTGGTCTTCCAACGTTCGTTCTGCAAAAGAAAATAAGAAAAGAAAAGAAAAGAAAAACATTAGATTAATAAAAGAAAATAATTCTATTTGAATAATTTCCTTTTTTTTTCTTTTTTTGTATAATAGTTGAAACGTAAAGTTATAGTTAGTCTAGTAATGGAGGGGTGGTAGTAGTATATAAAAGTATAGAAGAAAAAATAAATAAAAGAAGATGATAGGGTTCCCCCCATGGTACTTCTTCGAAGGGGAACCACCGACATGTGTAAAACGTAACAACGATAGCCATGTAAGCCAGCTAAATTACGCGTCACCGAGTAAACAGGTCCTGTGGGGCTTCTTTCTCGCGTTGCTTTCACGCGTGTTGTGTTTGTGTGTTGGTTGGTGGAAAAGGTTCTCTCTCTAACAAGAAAAGAACAAAATAAAACCAGTCGTAAAAGGGACTCTACTACTTACCACTACTACTACTAGTACTACTACTATTACGTTACAGCTACTACTATTATTATAATGAATACACCGTAATCGTAAAGAGGATGATGATGATGATGATGACGACGAAAGTAAACTTTTAACGTGGGGGTACTACGATAAGATATAACGCCACTGATACTTCAACTACAAAATGTGACGTATATATGTTATATACGATGTTAAAAGGGCGGATGTTAAAAATATCGATAAATATCGTATACATAACTTCTTTATCGCGATATTCTTATTAGAGATATCGATAGATTAAAATTATTATTGAAACTTTCATTGTATTTCGCAATGCAATACAATACATCCAATAATATTCCAATATTGTGCAATTAATTTATTAACATTTCCTACTTTTTTTTTTTTATCATTGATAAACAATTTGATATTAATTTGATAAAAAAAATTAAGAGAATTTAATTGTAATGATTTTTGTTTTCTTGTTTTTTTTTTTTTTTTTCTTTTTTTTTGTAAGGAGAGTATCATTCGTTTTCGAAGACTTTAAAAAACACACGCGTTGTATTGGAGTAAAAAGAAAAAATGAGAAAAGGGGAAAAAAGTAAGAGAAAAAAATAGGGGAATCCCTGACCTGTACCAAGCTCGATTTCTACTCTAGGCTCGGGTCCGTTATTGATTCACATTTGCCCCAGGCTCTCTCAACCCTTCTGTTACTATTTCTCTTCTATTTTCTATCTCTCTCTCTCTCTCTCTCTCTCTCTTTCTCTCTCATTTTTTTTTTATTCTCATTTCTATTTTTTATATCACTGTTGTTTCCAAAGTAGCGTTTGAAATTTATACATGAAAAACAATTGACCAATTAATGATAGATTAATTTCAGTAAAATAATCTCTATTGGATCTCATTTTATTGACGTTATTGTTAATAAATAATAATGAATAATAATAAAATAATAAATCATCATAATGAATAATAATTTTGATAAAGAATTGTTTTAAAAATCAAATAAAATGTTCGATGTTTTTTCATCAGAATTAAATGAGTTTAAAACTAAAAAAAATACAAAGAAATAAAGAAAGAAAAAAAAAATCAGATAAATAAATGGTAAAAGGGTTGTTTACAAACAAACCGTTTGAAATGTTTAAAAGTGTCTTGGTCAATGATCGTTAGTATAAAAAAAAAAAAAAAACACCAAGTGCAAGGAGAACGACGAGATGCTATTTGAAATAACGAGTTGAGAATGTCATTGGTCTGGAATTTCTTGCTCGACGAGCTTGTGCCCGTTTCTTCTTCTTCTCTTTGCTTGAATCAAATATAATAAAAAAAAAAAACAACAACAACAACCATAACAACAACAACAACAACAACAACATACGAGAAGTAGAATGAGAAAAATAAAGATATAAATAAATCCATAAAGAGAAGATAAAAACAAAATGAGGAATGAAAGAAAGAAAGAGAGAAAGGAATGCAATTGTGAAAAATAAACAAACAAATCAATAAAAAAAGAAAGTAAAAAACAGAATGAGACAAACGTCAGAAGGAATTTATTATCTGTCGAGATGGAATTTCCGGATGACCATGCGCGACAACACCTTTCTTTCGATTTAAAAATAAAATAAATAAATACAAAATAAGGAAAGAAACGTTAAGAAATTTTCTGCGTGTTTAAAGAGATAGCAGGTTTTATTTTACATTTGTAAACGATGAGGAGGAAAAGGGTGAGGAGAAGCAGGAGGAGGAGGAGGATAATGATGATGATGATGATGATGATGATGATGATTATGAGAATGATGATGATTATGAGAATGATGAGAATGATCGTCGTCTTTAAAGCCTTTTTTATCCCTTTTACGATTAAACCTGTCATTAAATACACGTGTCGTGGTAACTGTCAACTTTTTTCTATTCTTTTTTTTTTATTTGTTTATTATTCTTCTTATTTATACGATCATAATTAAAATCATTTCTTGTTATTGTGATATTTATCAACCTAGATATATAATATATCTACACTATTAGTCAAAAGTTAGATATTATTTGATCGATTTTCGTTTCAAGTTTGATATATTAACCCTTTGGGTATATTTGACGAGTGAGACACGTTATCTGCCTACTTGGATGAAGTTACGGTGGACGAGACTGACTCGTCATCTGAATTTAAGAAACTTATATATATATATAAATATTTCTATTTTATTACATTTATAATATTAATTTATATTTAGTAATTGAAATGTTGTTGCAAAAATATATTTATATCATCGATATAAATATATTTCAAATAAAATGTGTACATATTACTTTTATATATTAATTCATATATAATTACAATAGCAAATTAAATTCGTTATGTATAGATAAAAATTGTCAAATAATTCACAGTACTCAAGGGGTTAACAACAAATTTTTTAAACGATCTCTCAATGTAGAAATGAATTTCAGAAATAATCAATATTTTCATATATTAATTAATTAATTAATTAATTAATTAATTAATTTTTTATTTCTATACCAAAAGACAATTCGAAGACAATTACTCGTTGATCTATAAACCAAATTTGTATTATTAAAAAATTTATAATAAAAAAAAATAGTAAACGTAAATCTTTGCCATCTTTGAAATTTGCATAATAATGTGAAACCTTTGATTGGTAGTTGTATAAATAAATAAAATAATGATTTAGAAAATATACACGACACGACGAGATGCCACGAATATGGAGATAAGAGTTGAGAGAGGAGAGAAAGTTAAACGGTGATTATGGTTGATGAGTACACCTGATCTATGGAATATCAAACGAGTACGAGTATGCGAACATGTCAGGTCGATATCGTTGACTTCAAACCACTAACTTAAACGTCAATGTAAATTATGTTTCGAATTTTCTATCGAGATTGATGATTATAAATCATGCATATAATATACAACAGTATACAAGATGTTTCAAAATAAACTATAATTTTACATTTTCAAATGTACTCAAATCAAAATTGCAATTGCAAATATTAGATCGTCCAGAAAATGTCTTCCTTTTTTTTTTGGGTGATAAGTTAAATAATATTGCATTGCATAATATACTTTGTTATTGTATTTTAAATTATTCAAACTAAAAAATATTGTACTCGTAGAAGTACTAAAAATAGTTGACTAGTAAATATAATAATAACAAAACTAATAATATAATATTATTTTAAATAATGCAAATTTATATACATATTTATATGCAACTTTATATTATTATTAATATATTAAAAAAATAATATAAATTGTAATTAAATGTTACTATATATTAAATACAATACCAATTGCAATAATATATTTTCTATTGGAAATATTATTTACAAAAATATATATATATGTTATGAAATAATTAATAATTAATAGAATATAAAATATATTTACCAAATCCTAATTCAGGCCATGTTTCAACGATAGACCATGCAATTCCTGATACGTTCTTTTTAACTTTAAGAAGTTCGCATAAATCGATGCAACGTAAATTCTTTTCGACGACCACTGCAGTCCATGTTTCGTCGTCGTTGTAAAATCTTAGTTCTTCCTGGAAAAAAAAAAAATAAATAAATAAATATACAAAAATCCATGAATAAACTGACATTTAGTTTGTGTCAATAAAAAATCTGAATTAATTTAAACAACAATTCTTGTTTCTTTTCTATCACCAATTCGATTTGGCCTACTTTTCGTAATATATTTTTTACAATATTGCAATATCGTACAATTTAACAATATTAAAATATATTTTATATATCAGATAAGAATTAAAGAAAGAAAATATTTTATTTAGGAATTTATTTATTTATTTTTTTTTTACCTGTTTTTCTTGATCCAAAACTTCTAATTCTTCAGTTTGACTATTGACCCTTCTTCGTGCTCTTTGCATCATTCTGCTGATTTCAAAAATCGTAGGTGCTGAACTGAGCCTTTCGTAGGTACTTTCCCTTGTTGTTGCAGATCGGCCACCGGTCGCTGTTGACCTGCTGTCGAGACAGGAACACATTTTTGGAAACCAATCTATCCAAGAGAGACAAATCAAAAGAAAAAAAAAAACAAAATTCGAATTATTATATATTGAAAACATTTGAAATATTACAATTTATAATCGTACGTAAATCTACGTACCAATATTTGATTGATTTAATGAAATCAGTGCGAATTATGCAATAATTCATTCCATTTATCGTCTACTACTACATTTAAATTATTAATAATAATAATTATTACATAGGTGTGTATTTGTATATGTGTTTGTATCTATTGATATGAGCATATATAAAAATAAAAAACAAAAATGATATTTCTAAGCAAAAATGAGCCTGTTGTTCTAGAAATTATTATACAACTTGGCTGTATATTATTAGCATGTAAAATTTCAACGTGTATTTTCGTATTTGCAAATGTTATTATTATTTAATAACATTTAAATGTTTATTTCGTTATCAATATAAAAAAAAAAATAAAAATTATAGGAATATTGTGGATGCAAATACAAATTCGTTTAAAAAAATTCATTCGTCGTAATATGTTTTCAAATCCATATAAAAGATAATTGAAATAATTCGTTTAACATTTTTCCAATATTATTTAATAAAATTCACACGCGTAGGATGTGTGTTATTAATAATAATCAAAATAATAATTAAAACGTAAATACGAAGATATAATTAATTGAATTTTGTTTAAATCCGTTTGTTATTTGTTTGTGAAACCTCGCGTGAGATATCAAATTATTTGCAATTCTTGTTTTTTTTTTTTTTTTCGTAAATTATTTTTCAAAAATAAAACAAAAAATAAAATTACGGGAAGAATGTCTTTTTTTATTTTATTTTATTTTTTTTTTGTTATTGAAATTCCACGTGGAAGAGTATCGTCGATTATTTGCGTGTTGTGTTCCTCGTGTGTCTCGGTCTCGGTCTCGGTCTTGGTCTTGGTCTTGGTATTGAAATTAGTATTGGTATTGGTCTTGGTTATATATCGTGAGAGTACACGTTCACGTTCACGTTCACGTTCACGTTTACGTTTACTGACGACGAGACACGCGCGTCGGCCATCTCAAGGCGAACGAATGGCTCCTAATAAAGGCTCGTCTGCCTCGTATCCGGGGTTGTGAGCGTTCCTGTCGCGGTTCGCGATGGACCGTAAAAGAAAGAGAAAGAAAAACATAGGAAGAAAATGAAAGAATGAGAGAGAGAGAGAGAGAGAGAGAGAATATACCTGCAACACGCATTCGATTCTTTCTAATTAATCAAATTAATTAACGCGTATTTCAACGATGTTTACGATTAATTTGCAACACGTTCAACAATCTCAATTGTTTATTCTTTTCCTGTCTTTTTTTATTTTTTCTTTACTTTATTTCTTGTTAATATTTGATAATAATCATTGTAATAATAAATCGTAATCTCATTTTAATCGTAGATATTTATTGTCAATTTTAAATTCAATTTTTATGATTATTGGACACGCACAAACGCGTATGTGTTTTTCTCTCATATAAGATGACAAAACTATCTGTTATATTATTTCAATTAATTCATTTAACAATAATAAATATATACATATATATTCAAGGAAAAATACATAAATATTTTTGCCAATATTAAATTCAATTTTTACGATTATCAGAAACACACATACTCGTATGTGTTTGTAGGTTTCTTTTATCAAAGATGACAAAACTACCTGTTCTATCATTTCAATTAATTCATTTAACAATAATATATATATTCAATGAATAATAACAATTATAAATAATATATTTAACATTACTCTAACGAATATAATAAAAAAAAAAAAAATATATAAAACCATACGAAAGAAATAAATCATTTAAAATCTAACAAAAATTATTATTGTAATTCATTATGAAAACTTGAAGCAAATAAGATGAAAACTATTCTGACAAAGATGATGTGAAAGAGACAGAGAAAAAAAAATAATAATAATAATAAAAGAAAGAGAAGAGAAGAGAAGAGAAGAGTGAAGTGAAGTGAAGAGAAGAGAAGGATTGGTCGCATGGGCGCATTTCTGCGGCTAAGCGCATTCGATTTGCTCGCGTTAGCTCGGCGCCGACCGTTTCTATTTCGAGCCAACCACCTGTTTCCCTTTGCAATATGCAAGCCTTGCACAGACACACGCATACAACTATATACACAATGAGAAAGAGAGAGATAACTTGAAGCGCATATTCTCTTACATATGCACGTTCAGCCTTTCACATAAACACACATACACACAACATTCATACACACATCCATACATACATCTTTAGATACATACATTCATACGTTCATACATTCATACATATATGCATACATGCATACATACACATACTAACAGACGCATATTAACAGACACATACTAACAGACGCATATTAACAGACACATACGTACGTATGTATGTGTCTGTACGTACATTATACGCAGGCATATGACACATACAACACATACAAAGAATCCGCAAACATCTTACACTTATACATCCTTTCTTTACGTGTCATCACTTCACTTTAACTTCACTTCACTTCAACTTTTACTTCAGCCTCATTTTTTGCTTATCTTCTTAGAGGACCGTGTCTTACCGGTTTGTTCGACAAAATGGTCGCTGGCTCTTGAACCGATGAGCAGCAACAGCAGCAAGTAAGTAAGTAAGTAAGTAAGTAAGTAAGTAAGTAAGTAAGTACCGTGTATATATTCTTTGAAGATAACCGCAAAAGATTGAATGAAAAAATCTTCAGACACAAAGTCTAAGAGAAAGAGAGACAGAGAGAGAGAGAGAGAGAGAGAGAGAGAGAGAGAGAGATAGAATGATAAAACTATAAGTACATATATATATATAATATGTTAAAGTAGAAATGTTAATACATTGACAAAAAAAAAAAAAAGGAGAATATCAATTTGAAAATATTAACTTCAATATTTTTATTTTATATATTTTTATTATTTATATTTTTTATTATCATCGTAGTATGGTAATAAATATACTTATGGGATACTTTTGAGATGATTTTTATTTAATTAATTGTAATAAATTATCTCGTATAAACGTGAATATCCAATAAAATGCGAAAGAATTTCTGTGAATTTCAACATTAAATGTTGATTTTAATCTTTAACGATTATTTATTTTTTTTTTAATTAAATTCAATGAAATTGTATGAGAAATTGTTGTTAAAGAATCGTCAAATTAATTTCAATAGTTTGAATACAAAATGAATATTTGTTTCGTGATTGTTTCTTTTATTTAGAAAACGTTTGAAATCTTATGTAATTAATTAATACAAGATGATGATAATGAGAGACAACATTTTATACGAGTATAATATTAGAAATATTTCCTTTTCTTTTTTTTTCTTTTCTTTTTTGTAATAAAAAAAAAATAGAAAAATAAAAGAAAAAAGTTATAATACAGATAGTTGTAAATATAGATGTGAATATTGTAGAGATAAGAAAAGTAATATTGAAGATACAAACGAAAGTAGAATCTAAGAGAGAAGGAAACATAGAAATACCATTTGCCTTATCTTAAAAGTATAGTTGAAACATCCTGAGTGTCAAATAAATGGCTAACTAACGGACTAGAATCGTCCTTATCGAAAATGATCCCTCCCCCCCCCACCCCTCCCCCATATTCTTTTACATTATCAAATACGTAAATAGTTTTAGAGTTTACGCCATTGCAAGAATTCTACAAATAAAATAAAAAGAATTATATATATATATATATATTAATATAATTATAATTATATTTATTATAATAATTAATAACAGTAATATAATAAATTAATAATAATTTTTATTAATAATATACTATAAATATTTAATTAATATATTATAATTATAATTACATATATATATATATATATATTATATATTATATTTTTATAGATATATACAATGTTATATAGGGTGGCAATAAAATGTCCTATCGTTAGGTCAACTAAAATTTCGATTCTATGTTTGATTCGATTTATAAATTAAAATTTATATTTTTATTTATTATATTTATATATATATATATACATGTTAAGAAACTTGTGGTTATTTTTATTATTATAACGAAAATGTTGTTATTTAAACTATTAAAAAACAAATTTAAACCATGATTTAAAATATATTACACGTTAGGAAAATAACCATAATCATATACGTGTTATATTCGTACAATTATGGTGTAATTAAGATTATCTCAGAAGGGAATTATTTTACTCGTATGTTTTTATTTTTTTTTATTTTGTTTGTTTGTTTTTAACATAGTAAAAAGAACGTTTCAACGTTTTTAATGTGATCGTAAATTATATACGAATGGGGGTTCTTTATTTCTTCTAAATGTCTTTTTGTTGTTGTTGTTGTTGTTGTTGTTGTTGTTGTTGTTGTTGTTGTTACGAAATAAAAAATAACATTGTAGAAATGGAGGAAAACAAATATAGGGAAAATTCCAAGATAAAAAAAAAGAAAAGATAGTTCCATTTTGTAAGAGGAAAGAAAAATGGAAATAAAATGAGAGGGAAAGGAAGAAAAAGAATGGGAAGAGATAAAAGGGTCAAAATTTATCTTACAATCGTTGTTATATAAACGTAAGATGGGACACAAGAGAAAGGAAAGGTTATATAAAAAGAATTGTTAGGGTAAAAGGAATGTGGTGAAGGGATGAGAAGAAGGGATGAGAAGAAGGGTAGAGAAGGGAATATCATGAAGAAGAACGACGCAATTTTAGGGCATTGGTAGCTCAGAGAGTTTTGCCTTGAACCAATGTACGAAAAAACTCGTAAGAAACAAAAAGAATAAGAAAACCAGAAACAAATAGAAAGAGAGAGACAGAGAGAGAGAGAGAAGAAGATAAAAAATATTCTGGTAGGGGGGAGAAGAAAGAGAGAGATGAGAAAAAGGGAAAGGGTAGTAGTACATACTTAGAAAGATGATAGAAGGGTGAAAAGTACGAGAATGAGAAGAAGAGAGAGAGAGAGAGAGAGAGAAGGAATTAGAATGAGAGATCTTATCTGTGAAAGAGGGAG